ACAAATTTAGCATTGCAATTTTAATACCGAAGGGAATTATATACATAGGTATATTTTTCAAATAATACACTTGGTGGTTTATACATTCGAGATTAAAAAGTTAATAGAAATGAAATGGTTTCTTCTTTTTTGTGCTATATAAGTATAACAAGATCAAGATGGACACACGAGCGTGGCAAAACGTGCCGAAGACCGAATGGCTGAAGGAAATGCGATATGTTTGAGACGTAATTTATCTCAAACGTGACCGAGAGATACAAATAAAGATTTTCTTAATAATAAAATTTATTATCCCCTTACAACTGGGGCGGATCCGTTTTCCATGTTTCATTCTAAATCCTCCAAATCGGAGAAATTTTTACTCCGCCAGTTAGAGCCGTGAGGAATTTTTAACGCGAAATGTTCCTTAATCTTAAAATATCGCTTCTTTTGACAGGTTTACTTACATGTAAATAGCGCCAACGGCTATTAATGGTGCAGTGATCCAAAATATTTTTCTGCCAGGTGCCGATGGCAATCTCAAATCTCACGATATTTGACATTAAAATATATTGCAGATTAATTATTTATGTTTTGAATTATTTATAAAAAATTGCATTGAATTAAAAATATATATAGCATACCTATGCTAATTTCTGGGAGGTCAATTTATAAATTAATTTTCCGTGATCGTATATGGGTAGGTACTATGTAATCAAAATTGTTACCCATAAAATTGTTGAAGCTTAATTCTAATCGTTGAGTTAAGTTATTTTTTCTTAAAAGAAAATTTGTTGGATGAAGGTAAATGAGACCTAATTTCAGTCGTAAAAATATTTACTTTACTCTGAAATTACCGAAAGTTCCGAAATTGGATGTTGCATGGTAAACATCAGGAATGAGAAAAGAGGATTACGGTTGGTTTCACTGCAAAAACGAACCGATATAAAACATCTCTAAAATCGAGGGATATTTGTAGAAGATTATTTTTATGTATGTATCTTTCATCTTTATAGTTTTATTCTATTATTGATCGTTCGCTTTTCCTTTTATTACTTTATTGTTTCTTTCAGACTCTCGAGAGTGTTTCCCGGCTCGACGCTTGCCACTTTCCACCAAGGTACGGTATCGTTTAATCGCTTTTTAAATGCTATAGAAAAAAAGTTAAAAAATTCACATTACCGCCTTTTTCCTTTAATTAAAACTCACGTGCATATTTTACAATATTCAATATCTTATAAAATTAGTCCAAAATGGCACTTTCATTTGATCTTATGCGCTACACATACATCCTCAATAAATCGGTTATAAAAAAGCAGGCATCAAACGAAATGCAGCTTTTTAATTAAAATGGTTTTAATGACACTTTTCAATTTTATACGTATATCTAAGCAAAAGCCCGACAATACTTCGATTTATTGCCAGGTGAACGAACGGCTAAATCTGATACTGGCAAAGGGCCAGATTCGCAACGAGAGTCCTGCGATTTCATAAAAACAAAACGGTAATACAGCAGGCAATGGCGAAAATATATACATATCTCCGCCCTGCAAGTGAGGGTGGGATCGGCGGAACTTACCAAGCCGAACTAAAGATACTCGTCGCCTGAACGATACTTCCACGCGACCTGAAAGAGGCCACAAGAAGCCCTATTCGGGGACGTTTTTAGGTCGCTTTTGGCGTACAACGAGCCGCCATTCGAGACCGTTGTATCGGTCGCCGATGTCCGCCGAAGGTCTCATTCGTTCCAGTGAGTTGGTAGCCAGGATATCTAAATGCACCGAGGCATGTCAGGTCTTCAGAGGTGCATGTGCCTGACTCGTCACTTACTAAAATTAGATTGCGTTCAGAAATTTAATTACGTAGAAATAAGGGTGTGTTGTCTATCGATGAACCTCCAGCCCGACTGGAATCCTGGATAAACGGAATGTCCTTGTTTAATTTGCATATTGTTAATGTGATTTGATTCGTGATTGGAAATCCAGTTAGATTACCAGATTTTTATGAGCTAAAAGTTTGGATTATTGTGCAGATGGCTGTAAAAGATATTTTGATTAAATTGCATACATTTAACAAGAGAAACAAATATCATTTGTAAATTGGAATCAATATGTAGTTAAGGAGTAATAGGAAATGATCTCTGTTATATTTTTTTTTAATTTGGCACTTTGGTATTAGCCAAAATATGTTTAAGTTAACACTATGTATACTAATAAGTATACTATAATGATTCCAGGCTGATGCGACTGACTGACTGCTTGTTTATTAAAATTATCTGAAAGCCTCGTACGATATTTTGTAAGTCATATTGTCATTATTTTCTATGCACTGGTAATAAAATCCATTGTTGGATATTACCCTTGTTGTTGTTTCCATTGCTTCCATATTTTTTTAATATGGATATTCCTGTATATTCCTGTGATTTTACGTGTCAAGCTCAGGTTCTGCAATTTAATAAATATAGCCCAATGAATCAAAGTGCATCTGAAAATTGAAAACGCAACGCGCTCGGGGTTATTCTAGGAATCGGCTCAAAGGTTACGACCTCAAAGTGGCATGACTTTATTTTTTTTGCTGGGATGGTCACGTAGGTAATTATCAATTAGTTTCGGTTTCGACACAACGCCATGCATGTTGCGCTAAAGAATCGACGCAATTGGTACCGGGAAATTCGCAATAAATTTGTGTAGTACCTACCTATGTAAATAGCGAATCGAAGGAAAATGCTGCAGTAAAACTAATTGTTGAAGGTCGGCTGTTCGGTTTATTAAGTAATTGTTTGAGATTATGTCTACAAATGAAAATAAAACGTTAGATATATTTAACGAATTTTCGTTTGTGTTCTTGTCATCTAACTATTCTGATCATTTTTTTGAGTTATAACAATGGTTCGTTTCTTCATTTCCTTTTTATAACATCCTCCATCATAATTTAAAAAAAATAATAAAAAGCCATAGCCAATCATTTACAAATTATGAAAAGCAGGAAATATTCTCTCCGGAATATCAAATTAAGGAAATGCATTTAATATGCATGTAGTGTTTATTTCGTAATGAGAGTGCATCCACCAATAAATTTGATAGAACTGTCCTGGAATCATCATATATTAGTCATTTTACAGGATGTTATATTCATTCAGATGAAAGCTGATAAAATATCAAAAATATTTTATAATAAATAAACTAACAATAATGGCTATAGGACATACAATTCCTAATAAACACATAATTATTACTTATTACCTATTTATTTAACCGAAAATTAATCCTAATGGTTCAGCCAAAAGTGAATGAAGTTACGATGTGTAAAAAGTTTAATATGATAATTAAACGGTTATTAAATTAAGTTACAACTGGTATAAAATCATTTGATATGTTTTAACAATAGTTAACACTCATATATTCATTCATACGCGATATTTAATGCCGTAATTAAAACATGAAGCAACAAAATACTATAGGCACCTACTAAATACATTAAACAAACATATAGGCAGTAAGACAGTACGAGAAATTAAGTAATAATCTCGTATTTTATACCGATCATGTCTTTTATTTCTGTAGTTTAAGGCTACCGGATTGACGGAGATACTAATTTTTTATGTGGATTTTTAATGAGATACCTCTTTGATTTTTATTGCTATCATAATATTAAAAATCTCTTAATATTTAATGACAATCTTTGATCGCCGCTCAATCGTTAGATTTTATGGATCTCGAGCGTAAATAAATTAACAAATTTTTAGAAGAATTTCGAAGGTAATCTTTTGAATTTAATTAATTATTTAAAACTCCATTATACCAATAGTTGTACTTTCGGATTATTTATCTTTATACAGTTATACATATCCATATTTTTTAATAATGAATTTTGGATAAGATAACAGTTCATCTGACGTTTGCAGACGAATATTATTGATACCCTCTTGGTAGATGTACTGTGATTAATTATTTTAATGTGTAGATATAATTTGTGTCATCTCATTTGTTCAAATGTAGCACATATAGGAAGTTATAACTGATCAAACCAACCCCAGCTTTCACTATAGTTCAAGAGTTCAATTAACATAGTGATATTTCATGTATAAATAACTAGCTCCACCAAAGATAAAGGACCGTGCGGTCCTATTGTATATTTCTTGGACCTGGCTTACAGCTAGTTAAATCCTGGATTAATGAATACATTTCTGTATCCTGGGAACATAATTACTTAAATTAAATGACGTTGTTTAATGAAATGTTTTGTCGTTGACCTTTTATAGTCCTAAAGAAGAAGGATTTGTTTCATCTTCAACGATTACCGATACACATGTAACAAGATTTCTATTATATAACATTAAGACGAATGAAGTTATTTCTCGATTCAAAATTGTCCTCAGTTGTAACAACATCCTGTGTTTAGCCAAAATTTAATTAGCTAGGTGTTATTCCCTTATTGTGCTATTATCTGTGCTATTAGTTTGGATCTTTAGCAATTGCGTGGTCATTAAAATTGAATGGTAGGTACTGTACAATGTGTTATAGGGGTTGTTCAATGGGGAATTGATTAAGAATCAAGAAGGGTGTGAAAGTGACGAAGAAGGCTCCTACTACTTAGAGCCTTTTAGAGCACAATCAAAATGACTTTACCAAATCTAAAATAGGCAAAATAATAGGCATTACATACTCCAGCAAATCGAAAGAATATTAAATAAATTAATTTTTTATCAATTATATGAAACCATTTAGCCAGAGATAGGCACTTACGAAGGTCTACTGCTATGCACTATAGGTATAAGTATTCAGAAAGAATGAGCAAAAAAGAAGGATAATAACGAAACGACATTAGCCAAGAAATGAAGACGAGCTCTTCGTTCGCCACTGGTAGGTTTCGGATCGAAGGACGTGTGTCGCAGCTAGATCGCGGTGTATCGCGACAACACATCGCCGCGTTTTCCACTAGCTGCCGCTAGATCGCACGCGCGTCCGCGATCCGAGCCGACGGAGTTAAACGCGAGAAACACACGACTTCAGTGTGTGTTTGATACCAGTAGGTCGATGTTACCTACTACATATGCTCGAGCGCTACACACGTCGCGAAATCCATTCGTAAAGTCTTCGAGAAAATTTTCTTCGAATTTTCACGATCGCAATTTGTGACGAGATAAATAATAATTCGTTTCGGATAAATAACTGGCAAAAGTGGTTCTAAAGGCTGGTTGTAAAAAATTTGCAAAATCAAATGAAAGTGTATGACTTTGGTAGATAAAATAAAATTGGAGGACTTGGTGAATTATTTTTGTTCAATTAATGCGCGACTGGTATTTTTCAAATTTCCTCATCGTAGTGCTTTCTTTTTCATAAATTCATCTCTAATTGGTGCGGCTTGGTGTTAATAAATCAACGGTAATTTTCGAACTCGATGTACACCTGTTTGTTGGATGCTGTAAACTAATTGCCTGACAATCATCCTCACCATCGCGGACCCCGTGGCGTGCGCCGCGCCGACCCTCTACGACCATGTGCACCCTCCCGGATCCTCCCCAGCCACCGGAGCGGGGTCTTCCACCGGGGTAGCCTGGTGGTCCATGATGAACGGCATGAACGGCGGCATCTACGAGGACAGTCCCCCGCCCGTGCCGCAAAGCGCCGCCACGCCGATCAGCAACAGCGGCATGACGAGCCCGACGACGGTGCCGCCTCCAGCGGCGACGACGTCGGCGACGTCGAGCTCGTCGCCGGCCAGCGTGACCAGCAACAGCGGCTCGGCGGGACCGCTCCAGGTTCCCGCCAAACGGCTGGCGTCCGGAGCGTACGGCGACTGCGGGGACGGCGTCATAAGGCACGGGCACCAGCCTTGGACGACGTCCTATTCGCCCACGGACGCCCATCAGACGGCTTTCGATCCACCGGTAGCTCTCAATCATCACCAGTACAATTCGCCGACGTATTACAATCTCGCCGGAGATCCATCGGCTAATAGAGAGAGGAAACCGTTGTTTTGGCCACCTGCCGTCACCGCGGGCACCGGAACGCCCGAGTACAAACCGTACAATAGTGTGTCTGGCGGTCACGGAGCCGATCCGGCCGTATCGTCGTGTCATCAGAGTTTCTCCGGAACTTCTTGGTGCAATTACCCGCCGTATTCCACGGCGTCCCGACACCATGTGGACGCCCATCAAGCCGTCCCTTATTTACCTGCAGACGATCGAGGGAGAGCCGCCGCCGCAGCCGCTATGGTCGCGGAAACGGCCTCCTTCACCCACAGCCACGAGAGAGCGAGTTACGGCCTCGGCAATTACGCACCCGAACCTGTTCCGTCGACGCCTTATCCTCCTCCAGGTGAGTTACCGCTAAACGTATCAATTCGAAATTCGAATCGGGCACGAAATGTGCGTGCGGACGATTGCACGCGTTAACGCTAGATGGCATGGCAATTCAAAAATTCGCTCAGTTCGCTCCGTTTTCTCGCACTTGTCGAGGGTCGGTCGCCGAACTCGGCTTTGATCATTCGTCGAGACGGCAGTTGGGGATCTTTTTTTTTTTCATTCTCTCGTCCACAGGCCGATCGATATTTGCAATAATGTATTTACTATACTACGTGCGTACGAACGGATCGAATTGAATTTTCTTTTTAAGTTCAAGTTCATAACAATTATTAACGAAGTCGGAAATGGCTCTATAAAATTTTATTGCCGAATACATTATCAAGTTTATAGACCTCGGTGTGGAATATATATATTTTAATTGTTACAATTTCGAATGCATAAACAAAATAACGTAATAGTAGATACGCGATTTGAATTTCGCCGACTGTGGACTTGATTTGCCTTTCCGTTCTTTACATTAACATTCCCATAGGTCAGTTTTATTGCCTAGTAAAAGTGATATTACGCTGCGATATATCTTTCTGTTGTTTATAATAATTCTTGCTAAAATCATCTAATCTTACTTCTAAACAACGCGCGTACGAAACGAATTTTCGGCGAATTAAAATTTATCATAAAAGGGCCTTCATGAATGAATTCGAATCATGTGGCAGCGGAACAGCTGACTACGAGGAGTCACGCACTTTAAACGACTTCGCTTTTGTATTGACTGGGCTCGGATTTGATGTGGGACAGGGATTGGGGCTCGAAGTTAGCGAGGCTCGAATTTATGAACACAATATTTACTCTAAACGTTAGATCCTCGGTGTCGGACCGTTTGTTTTCATAAAAATAAATTATGGATATTTATTGTTGTTTACCGTTTCATTAGTGTTGTTAGCGATGAATGTAAAGATTTCGAGAAAAATAAAAAACTTCATTATAAACATCGGTTGCGGCATAATTTACATTTTTAATTCGGAAGATTATAATTAATTGAATTTAATTAACTACTTAGTGTTTATTTATTTTATAATTTAATTGATATTTAACGCACGAGTGTATTTTTGTACGTCATATTACATGTTTTATGAATTTTTGAATATTTGCGTCAATTAATTTTCAATACGTAGTTTTTATTAATTTAGAAACTACATTTCTTGAAATAAGTTAAAATTTGGTTATTAAATAATATTACCATTTTTTTTCTACTTATGTAACTTCTAAAGGTCGACAGGAATTGATAAAGCCGCATATAAAGGTCACATGCGTATTGAGGCAAAAGTTAAATAAACTTAAAATTAAATATATAAAATCACTTTATTAAACCAGATGATTTGTTATATTAGGTACTTACCTAATTATTATTACCTAATAGTAACTGAGGCGTAATTGCTCATTTTCAGCTGCTTTTTATTCCTATCGATATCTAAGTACCTACATATAGGTATACTAAATTAGGAAATTTTACTCAATGAATTTAATACATCTAAAAATCTATGATATAGATACAAATTTGTACAGGCCTTTTAAATTTCTTATTTTTTCCATAAGTAGTAGGTACTAACTCTCCTCTACCATTTTTAATGTCTTTATTTGAGTGAAATGGCATGCACCATGCACCGTATGCTTTAGTACACCGTTATTGGAAGTAATTTGGGGCAAATTCGGAATTTATTAGTGAATCATATCTTACCATATACTCTTATTTTGAATAATACTAGTTTTTATTTATAATTTAGAATATGTGTTGAAATATTTAAAAGTATAATTATTCAGAATATTCATGAGTATAGGCTGAACTATTTAATAATTTATTAACCAGTTGATATTAATGTTCAAAAAGAGAGCAAAGGAATTAATACCAATGAAGAAAACATAACAGGAATTAACGAAAAGTTGGTAAACAAATATTGCAAATCTAATTTATATGTATAAGAAATGTTTAAGTAGGTAAACCATAAAAATAGGCGTGTTAGATTTAAGGTCGTTTTAGAATAAATCGGTTTTTATTATGAATAATTAATTGTTCACAGTTATGTGGGGATCATCCCCATCTCTTTTTGCTTCAGGTTCCCTGGGATCCATGGGAGTAACAGTTCCTTGTGGTGCGGGCACGAATCCCTTAGAATGGACAGGTCAGGTAACAGTTCGTAAAAAACGCAAACCCTACTCGAAATACCAAACCTTGGAATTAGAAAAAGAGTTCCTATTCAACGCTTACGTGTCGAAGCAGAAGCGTTGGGAGTTGGCGCGAAATTTGAATTTGACCGAAAGGCAAGTGAAAATTTGGTTCCAAAATCGCCGGATGAAGAATAAAAAAAACTCCCAGAGGCAGCAGGCGCAGCAGCAGAACAACAACAATTCGGCTACCAACAACCAGAACCACCATGGTTCGCATCACCATCCACCGCACCAGGTGCACACGCCGCATCATATTGTTAATCATCACGGCGTTTCGGCTAATGGGACGTTGAAACATCATCAGTGACCAATGCCGTTTTCTGGGGTTGTACTGGGTCACCATCACGGGTTAGCCAATTAAATACTCTTTAGTTTCATTTATGTAATAAGTGCTTGAATGACTTTGTTCACTCGGGGCGTATGGTATTAACGAATGAATGCCGACCCTGAAAAAACATTCTTTGCAGTGCCAAAGAGTAAATTTATATTTGTTGAATTTGTGAATTTACTGAAAAAATAAACTCTTTTTTTTAATTTTCCGGTTAATTGGGCTTGTGCAAATAGATCTAGTGCAAAGCACGGGAATGATCAACTACCCCTACGCAGGTAGTTTTTTACTTCATTTTGAAATGGTTATTATAAAAAACCTTTAAGACTTATTTTGTATATACATCGACTGTAATTTTGTCATTAGATTGTAATTCGTTGGTATATTATGATTACTGTAATCAATGTTGCCTGTAGTTCAATGTATAGTAAATTATTGCAGGTATAGAATTTTAAAGTATAAGCAGCCATAATTTTTCCTGTGTTAATTCTAATTTTATATGAAATCAGTCCTGGCTGTTTTAGTCAATGTCGCAATATATTTGTTTTAATTCTGACATTTTACCGAAACAATTTTTAATCGAAAAATAATAATTTGATAAAGCCTACCTGTTTCAATTTTAATTACGATTTTACAAATTGACTAAAATGTTTTGTTATTTAATATCTATGTTTTTTTAGGTACATAAGTGTGATAAAAGATTATGAAAAGCGGAACGTACTAAGAATTTTAAAATTTTGTAGAAAAAAAGAATACATTTTTTCGTCAGTTATTTTTTTGTTTATGTTAAATTCGTATTAAATTGTTTTATACGAGGCGAGTTAAATAAATAATGAACCACTTCTAAATTTAAAGAAAATTTATTTTATTGACTGTTCGAACGTTAAAAAAACAGAAATATATTTTTAGAAAAATAATTCACGCACACTTTATTTGATTTTAATCAGATAGCAACATTCCAAGGTTTTAATTTTAACTCATCCCGAAACACCAGTTGAAGATTTAAGACTGAATTTTTTTAATCAGCGTTAGAACAAATTTTTAGCGTTCCACCAGGATTGAAATAAAAGTTGATGTAAATAATAACTTTTAGGTACCTGTATATCTGTGGCTTGTTGTATACGGTTGATGCAAAATTTTATTTTTCGTTATAATTTTTTCAGTTGACACTACTTTTCAGCTTGGTGTACTTGTTACTAAAACTATTGTAATATACTTGAAAACGACTTCTCTAGAAATCCGAATTTTATTGTAAAATTATCGCGAACTACTATACCTACTAACCAGGTTTCGTCACGTGTCAGATGTATTTATTGACTAGAATGAAAGTATATATAAAAAACATCGATTATACTGATGTACATAAATATTTCATTTTAATTGATTCCTCGAAGGTGGATGAATTTATATGCTTTAGAAATTACAAAATTTAATGAAATTTGCAATTGAATTTTGACAACGATTTATTAAGAAAACGGAAAATATCGATGTTTCAAACAAATTTTGATATCACAGTATAATGTATTAAAAAAATAAGTATGGATTATTTTTCAATTTAAATAAATTGATACCCTTTGAGATTATATATTTTGTATTTGCCTGTACTATTTTTATATCCTTAAATTATTTTTAACTGCAATAAAGTGAACTTAAAACATTTTTTTCAAAAATTTCGGAAATAAAAAAAAACCTCTTTTGTAGATGGTATTTTGGTAGTACAATAGTGTCAATACTATAAAAAAATATACTTCCTATTGTACCCTAAACAATATTTTTTTAATTTCTACAAAATTATTTAATTTCCTATTTTTCTCTCTTTAATATTTCTATTTCATTCCTAATATAATATTCCTTTATTCCATAGTTCGTTCTTTTAATTCTCTTCACAAAATTTTTATAATTAATGCGAATGAGTCGATTATGAAATCGGTGACGATTATTTTGGTTTTCAGAGAAGTAAATTATTTTCATGCACCAATTCATTTGTGATATATTGATTGCATCTTGACATTAAGCTCAATTTTATGTGGGTGCAGCAATAATTTAAAATTGCGAAGAATAATATTGATATTTTTTTAAAACAGGTAATAAATAAGTTTTATAAAATAAATTCATCTGCCTTTGTATTTTTGTATTAATAGGTAAAATAATTAGACACAATTTTATTTTATCTGAAGTATTTGGAAAATTGTAGAATAGATGATTGATGACGCTATTAAACTGTCTATTTTTATTTACGCAGCCAACTTTTTTGCTATATCTATACCTATTTACGAATTGATCTCGAGTTGGCCGTTGTTTTACTTAATTCGTTTTGTTCCCATTTGGCTTTAAAAAATAATTTTATTATTTATTTCGTCGTCGCGTTGCGTAGTTAGAAACTGGAAAATTATGTTTTAAAAAAATTTTTGTACCTATTTTTATTTTAAATTGATTGTATTTTTACTTGTTGTGTTCAAAATATGAATTGTTGTGTTTATGTATGTATATGTATACACATAAATATTATTAAGTAACTCGCATAAACATTTTCTTTGAAACCAATTAATAAATCTTTCCCGTGTTATTTCTTTCTCTCCTGTCGTCACTCGGAATTGTACATACAGCGAGATTCAAAATTGATGCGAATTAATTCAGAAGCCATCAACTCATAGATGAAAAATAAGGTAGGTTTTTTTGTATAAAAATTACCGCAAAATTATCTCCTTCGAGATTTAGATTCCAGATTACCATACGCAATTTTAAATTCACACAATTCTGGTGAGCCTAAAAAAGTAGCAGTATTATTAATGATAAAAGTAATTAAAAGAAATTAATATTTCACTTCTGTTGACATCGAATTGATTGTAGGTACTCTGTTTTAAATGACTTAATTAAAATTGGTGAAAAAATTTCTTCAACAAATTATTTAGTAATTTTCACGGTTCAATAGATATTGTACCTATACAGGGTGTTTTTTAATAACATGCTGATTTAATACTGAAGGGGGTGATTCTTGGGCCCATTTTAAGAAAAAAACTTTATATACACCTATATATGTCCTAAACGTCCTAACTTTTGAGATATAGGGTAATAGTTTTAGGAAAAAATCAATTTTTTACTGTCTTTTCCCTACCACTTTAAATAATTTTTAAAGTATTTTTTTTACGCATCAAAGATCATTTTTTGACCTAAAACATAATTGGACCAGGCCAAATATTTTTGAGGGTAAAAGTGACTGCTTTTTCTTAAAATAAAAATTATTTTTGGAGGCCCCGTTCAATTTAGAACAAATTTGATTTCTTGAATTTTTTTCTTACCTACAACTCATCGTTTCGCATAAAAAAATTAAATACATTCATTTTGTACGCTATCGCTGCATTGCCGTTGGGTCGAAATTATGTAATAATAAATTTTAGGTTTAGGACATATGTTCATATATGAAGTTTTTTTCTTAAAATGGGTCCAAGAAACACTTGAGTATATATAAGCAAGTTATTAAAAACACCCTGTATATAACACTGCCAGTTATTTCGAAACTAAGGTATACACATTGCTTCATTTCCGATTGCAACTTAGTCATTTCTATGAGTGGAACAAAGAAAGATTATTAAAATGACAGTTGTCAGAGTGAAAAGTTGCAATGACACAAATGTCACTCTTTCCTTTTCCTTTATAAGTGTCTAATGGAAGTTGTTTTTATCGCACCCATGGCCTATATAACTTATGTTGCGATCAAAAATGGAGCAACCTGTATGTACAAACTCTATAGGTACCTAGGTAGATATAGGTACAAAAAGTTTCGAATCTATTTAAATAGAACAAAAAAAAATAAGTTTATTCATATTACGTATGAATATGCTCTCAGCTATTAAGCATATTTTAGTAAATCTAACATTTTTATCTTCAAAAATTCCTAAAAAAATCCTATATCGCACACCAATATCCACATACCACACGCGATCTAGAAATTCTTATCGTACCCAATAGAAAAATCTTGCCAAAAACACGTGATTTAAACCAATAAGACTCGACAATAAAACACATGAGGTGTGCAGTAGTAGTAACGAAGAGGTTATGTAGAATAGGGGTTTATCATTTTACCTTTAATTTTTACAATTTTTGATCGTCTCTGCTATCTAATTTTCCAATTTCACGTTATAAACATATGTTAATAAACAAATGTCCGCAAATGCGCCGTTTGGGCTGATGTCGAGCAATAGAAAGGGTGGTCATTTTAAAATGAAAAAAGGTCTTATAAGAAAAAAAAGATCTTATATGTAAAATTTCAGGATAGTTTCGTCTAAAATACTTTTTCCAAAAATGCATAAGTATCTACTTTTTGAGTTATTAAATAAAATTTATTTGTAAAAAAATTAGACTGATGTTCCTTATAAATTATTTTTTGCGAGCATCCCCTTAAAGATCTGGAACTGGTTTCTGAGGGTTGGCTACTAAAGAGGTCAAAGGTACTGTTTGAGCTTGTGTTGAAAAACTCTTAATTGCATGCAGGGTGTGTAAAAATTGTTCTTTCTAACTCTACTTTGAAGGCATATAACTTCTCAGGGATGTAACTTTGTATTAAGTTATTTTGGGTTAATTTATAATTTTAAATATTCCAAATTGCAACAGTCTTTTTTTATTAATCTTCGATGAAATATTGTTCTACAAAAAATTAATCAGCCCATTTTTAAGTTAAAGTATTCAAAAAAAAGTTACAATAAAGCTCTACAGCACTTATCCATATCAAAATTATGTAAAACTTGTTTTTGTGTGTCTGCCTAAATACAGTCTAATCACTGACTGGGGTCGAACTTGGAAAAAAGGGACACGTTATCTGTTAACTAATGAGACATGAGGGAACAATTTGCTTTATTTATATTAACACTCAAGAGCACGTTATTTAGGAAGATTGTAGGAAAGGGCAATTTTACAGGCCAACACATCCTTCACTTATTCGTTTCAGATAAAAGTTGTTTACGAATGGGGATGAAATATTTACAAACATTTTGTAATGAAACCTTTATTAGTATTTGTACCTTACCTATAATGTACCTACATAAATATTTGCATTTCTTTTATTAATTGAAATTTTAACACACCGGCTACAGCACCGGAATTTAAGGGTTAAATTTTACCGGTGCTTTGAAGGTAGGAATAAGGTTAACCTAAATTTGAAAAATAATTTAAATACCTACCATGTTTTAAAATTTGCAAAAAAACATTACCGGATTAAATGTATCTATATAATATGCTATAACATACATCTAGTTTATTGAGAAAAATTGGACTATTAATTAAATTTTAATTTTTTCTATTGCTCTGTTTAGACTTAAATTTTTAATCCAGAAGAACAAAAATAGAAAAGGCGGTAAGGGAATTCACAATATGTATAGTTATATTTGGATGGGTGATATACCAAAGTTATTTCCAAGGTTAATCCCAGTTCCAAGTTTATTAATATCCCATTTATTGTTTATTTAGCCCATCCTAAAAACTGCTCTTATCTCAGAATAACTCATGCACCTAATATGAAAATAATTAATTAATAGATAGGGTTTACTAATATCTAGATATTAATAAGACGGTTCAAATCTTGTCATATCTATAAATATGTATAAATATAGCTCTTCTATTTTTACTTTACTTCATTTTAATTAAATAGAAGTGGATTTATTATCCCCTATCATATCCTCTTGATATTAGACTTCGAGCAGTATATGAATTATTGAATACTGCGTGCGGATATTTTTATTTTCTTCGTTTGCCACTAACAATAACCTGTGGGAATTACTTTTATTGCTTTCAGACAAATCAGAACAGCGGGTATTATTCAACATGTTTTATTTATGCTCAAATATACAGGGTGTTTGACCCAAACTCTACGTCGTGTTGTCTACTCATATTCTGTGAAAGTGGCTGGGAGCGCGCTGAACGAACAGTACCTATTCTAAATTTTTTATAAAACGTAATAATGTTACATATGTATAATTTTTCCGTAATATCGTCAAACCAACAATACTAAAATTATTTATTTTAAATATGGTTGAATTTCGTCAAATATAATGTTTTGCAAAATATTCGAAAATAGCTCATGATTTTTTACATAATTTGAGACCGATTCGCAGATTTCATTTTTCTAAAAAAATTATAATAAACAAAATAGAGCCATTAGAAATAAATACAAATAGCGAATACAATCCTGGCCGCAATAGTCAGCTTATCGGAATTTTAACTCAAAAAACAGATACAAAAACAGGTGTATTTATCAGCGAGCGCAAATTTCTCCTTCCGCCTGATGCCAGTCTTCGAAAAATCTAGCCGATTGTTTTGTTTTGTAGTGCGTATTGTATTGTAGGGTTGACCTCGTGGTCAAATAGATAGTTCTTTTTAGTGATTTGCTTGATAGTGTTTAAGTTCCTATTGTTTTTCAAGTTTAATTTGTTCTTAGTTTAGAATTCCGGTTCTTGTGGCAATGGCAATGGCAATGGCACACGTGTACGATCAAAATGAATGAATTAATTGATGTGCTTCTAATATGTAGTAAGTAATAGATGCATTATTTGGCGATATTACAACTTTATGGTAAACTTTTCGAATCGTATTATCGCGCGAGACGATAGGGATTTGTTTGAAATTACATGAATTAT